TCACACTACTTTCTCTGACTACAATGCAATTTAGTTAGAAACCAATAACAAAAGCATAACTAGGAAACCCAACATAGTTGAAAATAATATTTTTAAAAAACTTTGAAGCACATCGTAGGTCAAAGAGGAAATGATGATTGAAATTATGAAATGAATGTACCAAATATACCAATATACCAAAACCTGTGGGTTCCACAAAAATGGTATTAACTGGAAATTTATATACTTAGAAAAGGAGAAAGGCTGAGGGTTTCTGAGCTAAGAATTTAATTTAAGAAGTTGTATTAAAAAAATAAATCAGAATAAACCTAAAGAAAGCAGAAGGAAAGAGATGAAGAGAAATTAATGAAATAGAAAACAAATATATAATAGATAAGATTGACAAAACTAACGAGTATTTGATAAGTGTCTAAAAGATTTATCAAGAAAGATGAATACAGATGCATCGGAATTTAAATAGATAATAATAAAATATTATGAAGAGTTTTGTGTCAGTAAATTTGAAAACTTAGATGAAATGGATAAATTTCTAGTAAAATTCAAATTAACAATACTCACTCAAGAACAGAAAACCTGAATATCCTTTATCCCTAAAAGAAAATGATTAATAGTTTAAAATCTTCTAACAAAGAAAACACAAGGCCCAATCAGCTGTTTAGATGAATGTTACCAAACTTTCAAGCAGAGAGATTATTCTGATATTATTGGAATACAATCAGAAAAATAGAGGTACTTCCTAACTCTGGCAAAAGGCACACTATGGAATTTTAGAGAACAATATAGAAGCCTATCTTCATGACCTAAAAAACAAGGAAGGATTTCTCAAATAGGACACAAAATGTGCTCCATTATAATGGAGAAAGTCACCGATAACACATCTACAGTAAAATGGGGAATTTAGATTGGTGCTGTCATTTCAGAAAATATGTTGACATTATCTCGTAAATTGAAATTTTACTGTTATGTATATACCCTTAAAAGACTTGAGTGCATCAGAAGACATGTATAAGAATGTGCATTAAAACAGTTCAAATCACTAAAACTAGAAACGACCCAAATGTCCCATTAGAGTAACAAATAAAGTAGCATAATCCTGCAGTGGCATATTATTCAGCAGTGAAAAGGAACATACCACTGCCACGTGCATCCACACGGGAGAGTATCAAAAGCATACTGTAGACATAAGAAACAAGTCAAAGATGTCATGTAGTATGATTCCATTTCCATAAAGCTCAAAAACAGGCAAAACTAAAAAGACATTGGGATAATGCAGGTCCTATTTTATCGATTCCAAAATACACCTTTTCACATTTTAATCTCTCTAAAATTGGGATGCATCTTAGGATCAGTGGTGCGCTGCAAGTACATTTGAAAGCTGTCCTTTTTCTTTCTTAGACATGAAAAAATGCTGCATCTCACAATTGCTGGGGGCTTAGGTTCAGTGAAATATGGTAATACCTCAAAGAAAAGCAGAACGAAACACAGAGAATTTGGGGTCATGATTATCAGTGTCAGGGAGGGAGGGGACTGGGGAATGGAGGAGCATCTAGGAAAATTCTAAGGTATGGCAATGTGCTATCCCCCCGCCCCGCCCCTCCGATAGTGAGCATGCTGCTCTTTATTATTACTCTTTAAACCATTTAGACTCTCTCATATATGATATTTTTCTCAATAAAAACAAAGTGCGAAGAGGTGAGGAACTGGAGACACACGTATGACAACTCAGGAGCTGGAGATTAAAAGGGGGAGAGAGGCAGGAAATAAAGAGAAAGGCTCCCTGAGAAGTTCGGAGGTACCAGTCCATCCCATGAAGGAAAATCAAGAGACACTTTAGCAAGAGGGACAAAGGAAATGTGGGTTTATGAAATGTGTGGTGGAGTTTTGTGCATATTTTCCTTGGGATGGTTTCTAATTTATGAATTTATATATGGTCGGGGGCGGGGGGGGGTGTGGTTGTCAAGAATGGCGGAGATGGAAAGATGCCCAAGAGGGTAAGCGTCTAAGATGTGAAACGTTTATTCCACAGTTACTCCATGCCAGGTACTAAACAAAGAGCTTTTTACCTCCATTATCCCACTTCCTCTTTTCATCAAAGCAAAGAGGTGTGTATTCTCTCACAATGCCTGTATCAGTTTCCCAGAATCACTCTAACAAAGTACAATAGACTGCGTGGCTTAAACTACACAAAACTATTTTCTCGCAGCTCTGGAGGCTAGAAGCCCAAGGTCAAGGTGCCAGCAGGGCTAGTTTCTCCCGAGGTCCCTCTCCTTGGGCTTGCAGATGGCCACCTCTCTTTGCAGGCCTGCTCATGATCTCTCTCTTCCTAGACTTACAGAGACACCAGTCGTATTGGATTAGGGTACCACTCTAACAGTCCCATTTTAACTTAATCACCCCTTTAAAAACCCTGTCCCCAAATACAGCCACATTCTGAGATACTGGGGGTTAGAGCTTCAACAGATGAAATCTGGGGGACACAGTTCAGCTCATAACAATGCCCATACGGAAATGGGAGATGTGGGAGTCTGGACGACTTGCCAAGGGCAGGCAGCTACAGTGTCAGCTGGGATGCAAATTCGAGTAGGTCAGTTACAGTGGCTGAATACCACCCGTTCCACTATAAAACAGTCTTGCGCCTAGAAGACTGGAGATGGACAGAAAAGGTCTTCTGGAGCATTAAAAAAAAAAAAAAAGGCTGACCAGAATAAAGGAGTAGTATTAGCAGAATTTTCAGACTTGTGCGATCTGTCGCAGGAAGCAGAATGAGTGGAATACCCCACGATCCCCAGGATGGACTGCGCTCTTATAGGTTCCCTATCTAAATCGGAGCTGTACGCAGAAAGACTGTGAATTTTGGCCAAATGGCAGGAAAGGTAAACGATTTAGCATCTGCTGGAATTCACTGTCCCTGGTTCCCTTTTTTTGGAGAAGCCAGGTGTAAATTATAGGCTGAGGAGGGTGACACCTGCTGGGCTACAAAGGAACTGGGTGGGGACCTGGCTCTTTTCATGTGTGGTCCCCTAGTGCCCTCTGCTGGCCAGCAGTAGGAACACACAAGAATCTGCAGCTAGCCCTACTTTCAAAACCCGCAGACCTACGGGGAAAGGCGGGAAGAATCCACGAAGTATGTCAGTCCCACCCTCTCCGTACACATGCGCACATTTCAGATCGATGGTACTGTCAGCTTACACTTTTTGGCATTTTGTGACGGCAGAGCTGTTTCAAAACTTGCTTCATCTGTTTTCATCATTAAAGTAAAAAAAAAAAACTTGCTGTATCTGCCACCTTCTCAAATGTTTCCCCAAATCCAAGAATACGGACATTTGAATGCCAATTTTGATGATTTAACAAAATATCGGTTTGCTCATCAGTTCACGTTTTCAAAATTATAAAGTTATTATACGCTTGGAAAGATTTTTTTTCCGACATTTTTAAACCATGATTTCCTATGGGATAGCCCAGGAGCCCACTGTGAGGTTACAGTATTCCTGTTAAAATAATTGTTTTAATTTTCAAATGTGACTTTAAAAAAAAAAATCAGTAGTTCATGTTTTTAGAAATTTCACTGTTATGTTATTTGGGGGTAAATATTCTAAGTAAAAAAGGAGTCTCTTGAATTGAGACGCATTAAATAAATGCCAGAAGAAACCACTGGTCTCACCAAGAACTAGAATTCCCGGTCTAGTGCTGCACAGGTTGAGTGGCCTTGGGACCTCAGTGACACTCAAAATGAGGGTTTCGGATTTCGAGAGCCTGCTGTGTGCCTAACTCTTGTGTGAGCCCAGACTCTATGCAGACACTAGAATAGGCATTTAAAATAGGTGTGACCCCAAATGTCACACCTTTGATTTTAGAATAAAATACAAGTTCCTTACCAGCTCTCCAAGGCCAGGAGCTCTGAGTCATGCAGCCCCCTCCAAGTTCACCTTCCCCTTCAGCTGTTTGCATTTCATCCGTCAAGGATCTCTGTGTGGCTCTATTTCAATATACTGTTTACTTCCTTCAGGACACTTGCTACAATTTACAATAATTGTGTTTATTAATCTGTCATTCGTTTCCTCTTTCCACCATTAGGCATCGTCCATCTTGCTCTTGGTTGCATTTCCGATGCCTAATGAGCATACATTTATCAATAAACGAGCAAAGGAAGGGCGTAAACAAAGGAAGGTGTTGAGAGGTGAGTGACACCCGTCATTCCATGCAGATTAGAGTACCGAGTTCATTCATAAATACGAGGCAGCCCCATCCCTGCCCCACGGCGTGGGAAGCGAGGGCAGGGCCTGACAGGGCTGCACTTTCATCTCTGACTGACGCTAGTCCTCAAAACCGCTTTTTCTACTCAGAGAACACCAGGGAAGCAGACAGAAGCCTCGAACCACCGTCCAGGAGAGCTGGAGAGCAGCGGGGGAAACAGGCACGCCAACCCACCAGGCGGCATCGCTTAATCAGGGGTACGGTACTGACCCAGGATGCGAATACTGGCTACCAAACCAACGCGTGACCCTTTATGTTGATCCGGTGCCTTCTCCTTGAAGGGCACAGCAGTCCCGTCGGCGCACGGCCCTGCCCGCAGGGATGCAGAGCAACAGTCCCATTTTACAAACGGAAAACGAAGGAGCCCACGGTCAGTGTGCCGGAGAGCCACTGCTGGGCAGCAGGCCGACACCTGGCTGCCCAGGGGTCCCGTCTCCATCCTCCCCATCAGACTAGCAGCATCTGAGCGAGGGAAAAGAAATTCGGAACAGTCATGCGTTCAGAATCTGTGGCTTGGGGAAGCTTGATGAGAGCTGTCCCCAAGAGAGGTAGCTAGTTCGGGGCTGAAATGCTTGCTGGGCTCCAGCGAGGCCTGAGTCACACATCGGGGGCACGGTTTTTCCCTCTGAAGTGCTCCTGGGCTGACATAAATTCCTCTGCCATAGGTAACTTCTCTCCTGAGCATCTGACTGGAACAATCCACAGAGGTCAAGCCAGAATGAAATGTCTGAGGGTCCCTAGGCTGGCACATCCTCAGGGCAGGCCTATCTGGGGGTCCTTCAGGAAGCAGGCCAGCTTCTGGGCCAGAGCGTCCAGCTCGCCCGAGCTGGCACACTGCAGGAGGTTGCTCTTGGGCACGAAGAAGTGCTTCAGAAAGCGCTGGCTCGCGCACTTGTGCAGTTTCCTCACCAGGCGCAGGAACCCTTTGCTGAAGACCTGCCAGTCCTTAGAGTGCGGGTACTTCTCACAGGTCCAAAAGAGCACCATCTGTGGACGGAAGAGGCGGCGTCAGACATCGCCCGGGACAACGCGACAAGGGAGGAGAGAAGCTCCAGAACAGCTACTGAGCTGACGGGGCGGAAGGAGGGGACAGGCTCCGCCCGGAATTCACGACCCCCCCAGGTTCCGGGGAGGGGCGGGGCTACCGAACCAGCACGTTACCCTCTGGCTCCGCGGGCATTTCCAGCGCCCACCTCCGATCTGCGGCCTTGGCCTCGACTCTCCAGGGAAGATGAAAACCTCCTGCCCGCAGCCCTGACAGCTCTGCCGGCGACGCCAGCGCCCTCCTCACCTCCTCTCTGCACCCGCCGCACCTCCTCCCTGGGCAAACCCTCCCTCCTCCGGGAACAGCATGGCATGGGCTCCCCTTCCTCGCGGCTTTGACGCCTGTCCCGAGCTCTCCTGCTCCCCCAGTGCCACTTCTCCCTCCTGCCCCTCCCGCCCTACCTGCCGCCTCTGCAAATCCAGGTCTCTCCAAAGAATCGGCTCAGTTCCTTGTCCCGCCCCCTCCTGCAGTTCCCTGCCTCAGTGCACCCCCGTGTGGATTCTTCTGCCATCGGGCCTTAAAAGCTGCTTTCCTAAGGGCCAGTGATCTCCAGCCCTCGCCCCCCCGCCGGCCTTTGGGCGGCATCTGACTCTCGGAGCCATACCCTCTGTGAGAGCCCCTCTTCCCCTGGCTTCCCAGACACCGAAGCCTGGGGGTCCCGCCCGCACTTCTGCTCCTCCCGTCCCGCCTCTACCTGCCCGAGGTTCTCAGCTCTTGGCTCTTCGCCTCCCCCTCCTCCCTCCCCAGCGGCGGCTTCATTACTGCTAAGAACAGATTCTCTTTCTCAGGCCCAGGCCTCTCCCTGACTTCCTCACCTGGTACTTCCTGAAAACCTGAAGTCATGCCCATCAGCATGTCCAAACGGATCTCACAGCCTTCCCGCACAACCCCGACCCGCCTCCAGAGCTGCCAATCCAGCCGGTGACGCAAGACACGAAGCCGGGGTCATGCCCTCCGTCACCAGCCCCAGTCGAGAACGGCCAACGCTGCGGCCTAAGCGTTTCTCAGATCCACCCGCTGGTCTTCACCCCCAGGCCCAGCACCCTCCTCCCCCACGTCTCACCAGTCTGCACCTACTCTTGTCACCGTCGAATCTGTCACCATCCACTCTGCAGCCAACGTGTCCTTTTTGAAATACGAATCAGTCTATGTTTCTTATCTAAAATACTCCCAGCTCTTCCCCTTGTGGATTAAAACTACCATCCCTGACACAGTCTGCTTCACCAGCGTTGGCCCCTGCCTGCCTTTGCAGCCTCGACCCGCCCTGCACTCTCCCCGGCTTCTTCCAGCCCCACTGGCCTGGTTCCAGGCTCTCCTCCACCCCAGGGCCTTTAACACCCTACTGCTTCTCTTCGGAGCATACCTCCTTCCCCCCTTTGCCCAGGAAACTCACTCGTCATTTCGAATTTCCCCATGACACCCGCTGAACATTCTCTTGGCCACGTACTTCTCATAAGCAGCGATGATCACGGTCATTTTTACATTTATTTACATAATTCCTACGAGATTATAAACTCCACGAGAGCAGAGGACTATATACCTGTTTTTATTCGCTCGTATGTCCCTAGCACCCAGCAGAGGGACTGGCTTGTGGGAGGCAGTCAACAAATGTTTATTGACTAAATGAAATCACGAATTAACTAATGTCATGGTTTAGATGTTGATAATTTTGAAACATAGTCTTTACTAGAAAGTAAAAGAGCAGTTTTAGGTTCACAGCAAGATACCGAATATTTTTTATTTAGATTCTATTGTTTTGAGTAAATGAGTTAGAGATAATTTCATGATGGTCAAGATAATATAGATACAAAAAAACTATTAATTCCTCTTGTCGCTAAGTGTTGATCTTCCTAATCAAACCAAAGCAGTTAAGTCTATTATAACCAAAGCCCTCTTTGAGTGAGTTTTAGAAATAAATAAGCCAATGAAAGATAAGCTCTTGCTCCATGCAAAATCGCTTTGGGGAAGAGCCTCTTCGGTGGGGAGGTGAGGACTTTTATAGGACAGCGTCAGATTTAAGATGAGGTGACCATAACTAGCTGTCTTGCAACCCGATCTCTCCCACTTTTCCCAGCCTAAGGCCGTGGCAAGGATCTTGTACACTCCAGCCACGTCCATCCCAATGCCGACCTGTGAGAGAGCCTTGCCCTCTCTGCCCAGGGTACCAGAGGACAAGGCAGTAGTCTTGTTTCTGACTGGCCCGCCCTTCTTGACAAATAACCCCCTTGAAGTGCTCGTTCTTGAGGATGCACAATTTCACTGTGCCGGGTAGATGGGGTGAGGAGGACTGGAACAGAGAACCTTTGAGAAGTTGCCCCAAGATCCGCTCAGTGATTTAGAGGCAGCGAGAAGGAAAGCGAGTCCATTGAGAGGACGCAGTTTTGAGAGCGGTCTAGGGCCGCGAGGCCCGCGGTGGCCCTATTCCATCTTGCCTAAAATATTCATGCCACTTAGAGTGTTTCATCCATCTTCATTGCGAAGCAATGACACCACGGTTAAGATTGAGGTTCTGCCGTGAGGCAGCCTAGAGTTCGCTTCACGGCTCTAACTCCTCCCAGTGTGGCCTGGAGAAAGGTGAGCAAGAAGCTGAACCCCCCACAAGAACTAGATGGCCTTCGGAAAGACGTGCCCGCCCCCCGGACAGCTGTACGGTTTTCGGGGAACGTGGCTGAGAACGTCGAGAATGTTGACGCTCGAGAGAAAGGCCCCTGTGTGTGCAAATGAGGTATGAACAGATTCTTGGGCAGGCCAGGGAAGGCCCTTTATCAGAAAAGACAAGAAAGCAAAGACTAGTGATTTGATGGGGGGGAAAGGTTGAATAAGATGTGAACTCATTCATTTGATAAACAAATATTTAGTGAGCGACTACTGAGTACAAAGCCTTGGGACGGAGAGTATGGGTTTAGTAACGTATAAAGACCCACGAGGAACCTGCCCTTAGAGAGAGTACGTTAGGGCTAAAAGATTAACACGGGGCTGGAGGACGGCTGTCCGTTGAGGCACAAGTAGGATGCAAAGAAGGCACCGCGTAGACAGGTGACCACCCCAGGGACCTGCCCTCGCCTGTGTAGAAGGCCAGGGAGAGGGGCTCACGTGCCTGGTGGATACCAGCCAGGCGGGGGCCGTGTGTCTGTGAGAGGCCGACGCCTCTGTGCATGGCGGCACATGAGCGTCCAGTTTGCCCCGGGTGGTCGGAAGTCTGAGGAGCTGAGCGTGTGATCGAAGGCCACCTCTCCAGGGCAGGGCCCCTGGCCCCGCAGTCCGGGCTGAGCTCTGCTGCTCTCAGCCCTCGCAGGCCACGCTCCTCTTCCTGGGGCTCCCTGCACTGATTCCTCGCGCGCCCCAGGATCATTCGCCCAGCGTCTGCCTCCCTGCTCGACCGGAAGCTCCACGAGAGCAGAGCACGTCTGTGCCGGGTGCAGAGCGCACAGGTGTGGGGCAGGTGTCTGGCCCCCAGTCAGCTCGACCAACACGTGCTGAGTCAGAGTGCATGAGTGAACGCACTGGTGAACGTGCGATGCTGGGTTTGGGGCAACGGGGGACCTGTGGGGCGAGGGGAGGTCCATGCCCCACGGTTTGGAACCTGGGGTTCAGGCTTGCAGCTGCGTTCGTGGGCTGCCGATCTCAGCACTCCCCTGCACTGATTCCTCGCGCGCCCCAGGATCATTCGCCCAGCGTCTGCCTCCCTGCTCGACCGGAAGCTCCACGAGAGCAGAGCACGTCTGTGCCGGGTGCAGAGCGCACAGGTGTGGGGCAGGTGTCTGGCCCCCAGTCAGCTCGACCAACACGTGCTGAGTCAGAGTGCGTGAGCGAACGCGCTGGTGAACGTGCGATGCTGGGTTTGGGGCAAGGGAGGACCTGTGGGGCGAGGGGAAGTCCATGCCCCACGGTTTGGAACCTGGGGTTCAGGCTTGCAGCTGTGTTCGTGGGCTGCTGATCTCAGCACTCCCCAGTTTCCCCTCCACGTGGAGCGTGTGTGCATGGCTGGCTGGGGCGTGTGTGCATGCTGGCTGGGGCGTGTGTGCATGGGTGGCTGGGGTGTGTGTGCATGCTGGCTGGGGCGTGTGTGCATGGCTGGCTGTGTCTGGCCGGAGTGGGGACTGAGCGAGTCACGGCACAAAGGAAAACATGAATGTGTCTGAAGTTTGAGCAACTCGCAAGATTTCACCGGACTTCAAGATTTCACCAAACTCGCAAGGTTTCCCCAGGGCACCGGCCAGGTGCTGTGCATTTTTCTAAACCTCAGCAAGGCTCTTGGCGCATGGCGGGCACTCGTGTTGGTTTGTTGAGTGAAATGAAAGGCGGGGAGAGAAGAGAACGATAGGAAACAGAGACGGAAAGAGAAGTGGAAAGGGAAGCGCGGGAGGCGGAGAATCCGCCTTGGCCAGGAGCTGCGGACACGGGTACAGCCTGGGTCTGTCCGTCTCCGTAATGAGTAATAATGTGTGGGGTGGCAAACGTGGACACTGCACCCCCAGCCTGAATTCGTACATACACACCCCTCCCGCTTCTGAGCGGCTCGGGCCAGCCCTACGGGAGACGGAGAGGAGACCCACCTGACCCACCTGCCCTGGGTCCTCTACGGCCGGTGGCCCGCACGCTCACCTGCAGATGGTGGGACGAGATCACAGGCCTCTTCCCCGGGCACCAGACGTCCTCCTTCATCTGCCGCATGGCCTGGAAACACTTCCTGCGGCAGCCCCCATCCTCGTCCAGCTGTTCCAACAGCACCTGCTCAGCCTGCAGGAAGCTCAGCTGCCAGTGATAATTCGAACGGGCCAACAGGGCAAATCCGAATGACTGGAAGAGAAAAACAGCGGGAAGATGAGAAGGGTGGTGCTTGCCGGGCTCGAAGGCCATCTCCAGGGCAGCCCTGTAGTCTGGGGGACCAGCCGCCAGGCGGGCAGGACGTCCTACAGCGGGGGTGCAGAAGGGAGCTTCAGGGCAAGCTGCCTTGCACACGGGCAGGTAGCGGGAGAGGCTGCGTCCGCCTTCTCTCAGGCAGTGGTTGTCAATTTGAGCCCACACCAGAATCACCTGGAGGGCTCAATAAAACAGATCACTGGGCCCTGCCTGCCCAGCCTTATCCCGTAAGGCGAGTGGGGCCTGATAATCTGCATTTCTAACACGTTCTCAGGTGCCACTGCCAGTTCCGGGGCCCACACTTTGAGAATCACTAGTGAAGCCTCCACTGTCCTTCTGAAGCTGGCTGGCAGTCAGCGATGCTGCGGCTGGTGAAGCTGTGGGCGTCTGTGCTCGGCGAGCTGGGGCCCTGCCCGCTGGTACCTTGATGCACTCCACTCTCTCCGGGGAGGGCCAGCGCGTCAGACACCGAGGCCACCGGGCTCTCTTGGACCAGGCGTTGGGGATCTCCACTGCGGGGGCCAGCTCTAGCTCCACCTGACCTTCGGATGTTTCCACGGCAACCCGAACTGCAGTGCTGTTTGTGAGCACGCTGACCTTTCCTGTGGGAAACAGCGCACAGGCGATGAGAGCAACTGTGGCCAGGGGGGTCTGAGCAGCTCCTCGCATCTGCGGGGGTGACCTTCCCACTGTCGGTGACGCACCGCGGGGTGGGGGGAGGGGCGTTACGTCGAAACTAGACAATCGGCCAGGTAAATAGTGACAGAAGCATTGCCAGAAAAATCTCATGGTCGGTGGGTTTTTCTTTTTTTTCTCCTCCCTCCCCCAAAGCTTTTATTGGTACTTTTAAATTAATAGATTCTTTTCAGAAGCCTCGACTGAAAGAAAGAGACGCTGAATACAAAGAAAAGGTACAGTATTTGCTACTGTGAAACGCTATCCAGCGATACTTCTCTCTCCTCCACATTCCACCCAGGTGTCCCAACCTTCCTCCGATGGCCTCGGCCCCATTGCTTATTCATCTTCCCTCGGTGGCTTTCGGTTCAACCCGTCTCTTACCTGAGTCCCAGGCTCTCACACGGTATTCCTGCCTCCCATTAAGCCAGGCTCGCCTCAGATGTATATATTATCAGAAGCCCTTGTAATCACGAAATACTTGATCGTGTGGCATAGCCACTGGCTCAAAGAGCTGAGTGAGCAGAAACGATCCCTCACACCCTCGTTTTCCAACCAGGCAAAGAGAGGGGGGAAAGAAGCAGCACATCTGGCAAAGTTTTCCAGCTCATACATTACAATCCATTTCTCATCTGCTCTCATTTCTTTCAAAAGATGCACAGTGGTTTTTTGTGGGTTCATCTCCATTACAGAGAAGGATGAGTCCTCTGGCTCAGGATCTGTTATTTTGCTTTTTCTCGCTCGGAGAAGAAAACGGAAGCTCCTTCGTTAACCGTGTTAGGCTGTTCCAAAGGAAAACAGTCTTCTCCTCGACTGGGCGTGGTAGAGAGTTTACCGCCTGTACCGCGTCAGAGCCGCCCAGAGGGGACATGACAACGCCTGGCACCTCAGCGTTCTTTGCTGAGAGCACCCCGTCCACCTGGCCCATGAGCTTTCACAGCGTCGCAAAGTGGGAGGTGAACCAAAGCTGGAACCAGCCCGCCTTGCCCACACCCCGCTCCCGCCACGCGCTCTGCTTACTTGCTGCGTGACCTTCGCGTGTTACTTAATCCCTCTAAATCTCAGTTTTCTTACTCTAGAGGGTTGCTATGAGTATTAAATAGTCCAGGAAAAGATCCTATATATACATGGTAACAATCTATTAAACATGAGCTGCTTCTATTATGGAACCTTCTTGAATACCTGTCTAGTCAGAAAATGTACATAGAAATCCCTTTTTTTTTCTGTTTACATGGAATCACATATTGTTCAGCATTTTGGTTTTTCACTTAATTATCTAGCATGGGCGTTTTTCACAGCTGTGTGTGCGCATACGCACATACTTCGTTCTTTTTAAAGGCTGCGTAATAGTCCACTAATTTATTTAGTCATTTATTGAGCTGCTGTGATTATTTCTAGTCATTCGCAGTGGATCTCCTTGTGCGCATTTCTTTGTGTATCTGTAAGAATCTCTTTCTAGAAGCGGAATTGCCGAATTGCCAAGTAGACATGTTATAAAAACAAAAGTGGACAAACCGCCCTTTAAAAATCAGGCCCAGCTCACACCTCCACGAATAATGTGTGAAAACGTGTGTTGCCACAGCCGCCCCGACACTGAGCGAGATCGGACTTTTCATCCCTGTCAACCTGCGAGGTGTTTTAATGTACATTTCCCAAAGTATACATTGAATGGAACTTTTTCTTTTTTCTTACTTTTACTAGCCATATATAGTCTTTTTCCGTGAGTCATGTTTTTTGGTCATGATTTCTATTGATCTGCTCATATATTTTATTGGTTTATAAGTACTTTTGTATAATTCAAGAAATTAGCTATTTTTTCCCAGCTGGGAATACGCCTTTTTACTCTGTGTGAACAAAATGTGTGTGTGCACGTGTGTGCGTGTATGCCACACCGTACCGTAGCTTAAGATTTTGGAGTTGTCGAACTTAATCAATTCCTTATGGCTTCTGGATTGTGTGTTTTGGAATAAGTCAGTGGTTTCCAAACGCGATACCTCAGCATGCTGGGTGACTCCAGCCCACTGCAGGGCGCTGTCATGGAAATGTGCTAGTAACGAAGCTCGGGGGTTTATGAGTCATTTGCTTTTTTTTTTAAGTACCCAAATTTTTAAGCTAACATCTTAGAAAAAGTATATAACTCAAAGTCTGTCGTATCAATGCCAAGACAGTAATCTCGTTAAAAACCCACAGGAGTGTGTCGTGAGTCTGAATTCCATTCTTCTATGTGTCACAGCAGAAAAGAAACAGCTAATTCGTATCATGGTGGTTGGACAGATGTAAAGAGCATATGATTACTTTCTCAGTGTAAGCGGCATGAGCTTCAGGTAACACCCAAGCTGAGGATTTTTAGGGCAAAAGGGAAATGCCAGAAATATCCCTTACACTTTTCTTGATCAGCTCACCTGACAGGTGACAGGTTTCGATTGCATTTTCTACCAGTTTCCGGAACACCTGGAGGACCTTGGCGGGCACGATGTCCCCCTCGATGTTCACGTCTGCCTCGTGCCACTGCCACAGGCTCTTCATGAACTGCCGCACGGCCAGCCACTGCTGCAGGCCCTCTGGGTCCCGCAGCGGGCAGGGGAGCCTGGTGCCTTGCAGGGTATAGTACCGCCAGCGATGCTCCCTGGGCTCCCGGTACCCGCCCAGGCCTCGCACTGGGACTGTGACAAGGAACTGGCTGGGAGCCAAAACCTGGGGTCAGGAAAGGAGAGAGAGCGAGAGCGAGTTCAGGATGTGGGTGGTGACAGACGTGCTCAGGGAGCTGGCCCGCTGAGCCGGGCGGCTCGGTGGACCACTCAGCCCTCAGCGATGTGCCTCGCACCTGCCTGTCGCAAGAGGATCCACCTCTGTTCTGCCACTAACCCACTGTCACTGGGAGAGGAGGAGAAAAAAGTTTGCAAATGACTCTCATTCTTTTGGCCTGTATTAATAACCCTTGGCCAGTATTGATGACTAATCCTTACAAAATCACTGGTGAAATGAAAGGCTGTTTGTTGAGACAATGAGAATTGTTGAGATGACTTTTGGTTTAATGGGAAAAGGGGAACGATCAGATCTACCTACTCCCTTTCTGTAGGAACCAGTCAAGAAGTGATCAGGGTGACAGTGCTCAGGCCAGTAGTCCAAGGGGTAGAACGAACTGGTCAACAGTGTAGTACCACCAAAGGGACCTTGAGCTTTGACCACATCCATGGCAGCTCACTCCACACGGCACCCCTCCCGTCAGTCAGCTGCACCCTGGAGGACCCCCCTGACAATGGAATTTGGTCAACCTCTGCCCGGGGCCCAGTCATTGGCCGATTGAGGGGTGAACGCCCAAATCAGCGCCAACCGATTCCAGCTCATTTTCAGAGAGTAACAGTTTGATGCTTTAGATGATGAGTTCGCACGACTCCCCATATCTATAGAAAAATGCCAGGATTAAAAAAGGGGGTCGGGGGGGAATCTATACCATGGCATTCAAAATCCATGTTCTTCGATCCCACTTGCCTGTGGATTCAAGAGCATAACTGTCACATTGCTCGTCACATAAATGCTGCTTAATAAATGCTATTTGAAGTTCGTCTAAAATAAAGCAAAAGCAATACTTATGCATCTCACCGCAACTTCACACGCAGAACGTGGCACGTATAAATGCGTGGTGTATGTTAAACTGTGAATTCTAAGTGAGACCCCAGAAGGAAACTTCCTCAGATGCAGTTCTGGGAAAAGTGATGTGATGTTTCTATTCCCAGGCACTGGTCTATTTTCTGTTGAATTTAGGTTGGCTGAGATGGTGGAGGGAGACAAAGTTCTCACATTCCAGGATCCAATCCAGTTTAACAATTTTCATCCTGGGATGAATTTTCTAAGATCTGACTCTGTTTCAAAATGCACAAGTTTCAGCGTCTCGTGGGGCGCGTGCCTTTGCCCATCATACTGGAAATGTACTAGACCAGCCACGATCTCTTGTTCACAGACTAATTCTTTTTCTCACTCATTCATTCATTTGGCAGAAGTTTGAGTGTCTGCTGGATGGTGCTAGGAAAGAAGCAGTCAGTAAACACAGTCTTCACCATCAAAGAACTCCTCGTCTGGTGTGAGAAAGGGTGTGAGCACCGGTAAGTGTAATACAAGCGAGAGGGGTATTTATGTGTCATTAGAAAAATTGACATAAGGAGCACAGGGGTCCAGGATGGTTCAGAGCCTCGGGTCTCATTCTAAAAGGGTGGAGACCCACAGCGTCTGCTCCACAGGGCCGTTTGCTGGTTTGAGTGAGGTCATTTCTGCGAGAATGGCTTTGTCTGCACCACGGTGTTGCGGAGATGCTGCCTGTCACACTCTGGCCCTCGTGGCTTCTAAGCCTGTGGGGTTCCTCACAGGGACAGGGGGCGATTTTGCAGTTTCTAAGGGCCACCTCTCCCACTTTTTTCCTTCCCACACCTGCGACCCCACAGACTGTCACTTTCCACTGTTTCCTTAACAATGCCCAGTTCCCTCCGCCCAGACCCCAACCTACTAAGTAGTTGCTTAATCGGCAAACGGGTGCTTCACTAAACATTAATCGTTACAGGGGCACATGCTTCAGAATCAGAAGCCCAGTTCGAGTTCTGACGTCGGCGCCTCATGTGACTGACTAGGTCATTTGATCTCTCTACACCTCAACTTTTACCCTCTGGAAAATGGGAATGTGGGGGCTCGAGTGAGATGACAGCGATGCACTGAGCTTGTGAACGGTGAATGGCAAGCGTTCCACCCAAACAGGAAGCGTTGGTAGTATCCTCAGCGGTCTGAGTGCCAGGCGCGTACTAGCCCCGCCCACCCCAGTTTCCGGGCTCTCTGGGTGGGCGCCCAGCGACAGGTGAGACCGGCTCACCTTCAAGTTCCCATCGTATGCCAAAGAGTAAGGGACAGCTTGAAACCGTACGTCTTGGTTGCTGACGTCTGTGGTCAGACGGTAGATGACTTTCTGCAGCTCCTGCACGGTCTTAGAAACCCGCTGGCGCCTCAGGTACACCTGCGTGAGAAGGGCGCAGCAAAGACAGTGAGTTCGGGGGCGGGCCCTGAGACCCCGGGATCAGGAAGTGATGGGACAGGGCACAGTGACCAAAGGTGTGCAGCTTAAAAACTCCTGCCTCCCCAAGAACCCCAGGGGAGATGCACTGAGGTCTGACACTGCTCGATGCCACAGCGTCCTCCTCTGGAATGGGAGCATCTGTTCAATATTTACACAGTGCCTGCCATGGGGCAGGTGCCCAGCTAGGTGCTGGCGCTCACTAGTGAACAAGACGACAGCGAACAAAATAGAGACACTAGCCCTCTGGTTGAAAATACAGGACATAGGTATAATGTATATATATGTACACACACATACACATGTGTCAATATACACATCTGTGTATACACGCATGTGTGTGTATAATGTAATATCAGGTATGATAAGCCCCATGAAGAAAAATAAAATAGGATGAGGAATTAGTAAAGGGGCTGCTATTTTGGATCAGGGGGTCAGGGAAGACTTCTCTGAGGAGATGACACTTGAGTGACCCCCGATGACAGTCTGGCCTCCAAAGCAGGAGCGTGCTTGGCAAGGCTCAAGGAACAGTAAGGGGGACACTGTGGCAGGAACCCGAAAAGGCAAAAGGAGAGTAACAGGGGGTGAGTTTGGAAAGGAGGGGCCAGACCATCTCTTGGGGTTTTATGAAACTATTCAATGGGATGATAACACCTGCTGTCCAGGCTGGTGATATTAAACAGCTTAACGCATGTAAACACGTAGCAAACTGTGTCCCACTTACGTCGTCAATAAATCACGGTTCCCTTCTCCCCTATACTCACCCTCCTCTCGCTACTAGACCTATAAGAAAGGGCATGCGTCGACGGTCCCTCGGACTCTGCACAGGTCTCCAAGAACTGGAAAGTATCCGCGGAAAATCGAACACCAAAAAATATATACCTTGAGATAATTCAGGTTCAGGGAAATATATGTTTGTGGGAAGCACCAAGGAACTTTTAGTAAGCTCCAGGAGAGACAGAAAAACGCAAATGATTTTTGGATGGGAAGAGTCCGTAAGTTTTTTCTGGAATGGAGGGGCTCTTCATTACACTGTCTGGGAGGCGTGTGCAGGCTGGTGCCCTCACAAGTGTCTCCCCTAGGGAGATGCTCCTGAGCCCAGTCAGGAGCCGATGTGAAGCATCTTAAAGGCGACATCTCAATATATCTAAATGCCGTGCCCATCCATGAATCTTTGTATTGCTTCTGCATTTTGTATAATGGCTGTTTCTACACATTCTAGAGTAGTTTTACACATTCATAACAGGATCAAGAAAAAAAGCCCAAGTTAAAGAGATTTCTGTTTTTCTAAACTAAATCATCAACTCGTTCAGTCACCTGAGACCTCATACCTCCCACCAACCAACATGTGGACACTGGACATGGAACACGTATACGCATGTGCATCTATTTGCACACATGCCATATGCCACATACATCATCAGTTCACCAATAAACATTTATTTGGCACCTGCTGTGTCCGGGGTACTCTTACACACTAGGGCACAGCAACAGTCACATGGACACAGCCATGCACTTAAAGTAGTGGGGAAGACAGACAAAAGGAGAGAACATAAATGTGGGGGCCCCTATAGAGAAGTATAGGGTGCCACGGGGTACAATGGAGCAGCTGGCCTTGTCTGCAGCCTGAGACGTTTTATACGTGCATATCCCCACTCAGAGGCCTGTCTTTGAAAAGCTAACCACTAGTACACTCCAGATGCATAAGAATAACAAGAAACCGGAGGTGAGGTCACTAATCTTAACGCGCTGACAATCTCATTGGAAATATACGACACCCACGAAATTGTCTTTTCAAAATCCATGTGTCTTGTTTGCTTTTAAATACAATAATCTGTCTCTACCAGCTTTTAACAACTCTTTTTGGCCACTCACCCACTCACCCCTCAAGGTACTTTTCTTGAGCATTTGTAACTATCATGATTCTGCGTCTTCCAGAGTGTACAAGCGGAGGGCAGAAGGTCCCAGAGGAGCAGGCCACTTGCCAGAGCAAAGGAAATGCTTTCAGAAGCCTATGACAAAGTGCCCTCCCTGGTGTAGGACTCCCTGGGGTTGCGATTCCACTCTGCTTGACCAATTTTCGTTGAATATCCACTTCATGCCAGCTTCTGTATCTCCGTGTCATCAAGAGGTTCATGGATGAGACGCAAAACAAACAAAACGGGAAACTAAAACCACAGCACTCTGGTCCTAGGTGAAGGTCCCTGGTTCCACAGGAAAGGGAAACTTCGTGTCCTCTGCAAGCTGGGGGTCCTTCCTGCAGGCGCGGTGTGTCGGAGCGGCATCTTGAGAGACTGTAGGAGTTAGCTAGGTTGTTGCAGAAACAGAAAATGGCGAGGGGAGCGCAGGACAGACCGGCCGGGGCAGAGGCCGCCTCGGAGGAGCGTGGTGAGGAGCGTGGTGAGGTGGGGGAAGAGGCAGCGAGAGGTCTTGAAAACAGAGGAAGAAGAATTTCAAGAACAATGTCAACAGTGAGTGGCCGAGGAAGATAAGGCCTGAAAATGTGCTCAGAGTTTGGCAACTAGAAGAGGCTCAGCGTGTTCGGGGAAGCGCTGGGCGTTGAGCCAGACAGAAGTGGGTAAAGAGGGAAGGAAGAGACTAGCCAGTGAAGACAGAGGTAAGCGACTGCTCCGGGGAGTCTGGCTAGGGAAGGAAAATAAACGAACAAACAATGAGCCAGTGGAGAAGGAAGAGGCAACGGAGAACAAGACCATAGAGTCAGGATTTTCCCAGCCAGGAAGAGCCATGCAAATCCAGAAACCTGCTGAGTCATTCACCTGGGGTGGGCGGGGCTGGCGGAAGGAGAGCCGGTGCAGATGCAGGGGAAAGGGCAGTAGGGAGTGGCGGGAATGGAGGGATCGCCTGTCTGATGTCTATTTTCTTTACCAAGCGGGAGAAAGACAATGTGCTGAGAGTGAGCTGCAGAGGTAGAAAGCAGGGGACTTTGGGGCGACAGGCTGGAAACAGGTTCCCTGTGGGACGAAGCGCTGTCTAGGCACATGTGTACGACTGCCAGGCTGTACCAAGACAGGTGTGGGGCTGTGGGAGACCCGGGGATCGGCTCTAGGATGTTCTCCAGCACCAAAGGTGAGAGTCGAGGTGTGGAAGGAGAGTTGCTGGGCAAGGTCTCAGTGGCGGCGAGCCATGCTCTCCAGCCTGGGCAGAGAGTGCGCAGAGCCAGTGCTGTGGAGTAGAGGACACTGGACAAGTTCAAGGACCGGAAGTCTGATCAGGAACAGTGGAGGAAAGTACCATGAGGGCTAACTAGATACAAGTCAGTGGCTGAGAAATAGAATTCTCAAATAGTTACGTTCTCAGAGTATTTGGGGGACTAAGGCTACCCACCCCCAATCTCTCAAGTCTGCTGATACGAGTCCACAGAACTCAATGTTCGTAACAGTCATGAGTCTAGGTATACAGCTGTGACCCCGTGTGCATGGCCGTGACCCCGTGTGTACGGCTGTGACCCCACGTGCACGGCCATGACCCCGTGCGCAAGGCCATGAGCCCGTGTGCACAGTCGTATATATATATTTGTTTCTCAAATTAATGAACTAAGAAGATTCATCAACATATTGACACTGTGAAATAATTTTTAACTAAATAATTTTTAGTTAAATAATTTTTAACTAAATAATTGTTAACTAAAGCTTGTGTGTGTGTGTGCATGTACATACACATGATGAAGAGCCTATTGGAAAAAGTTCTCCACTGTGAATCTCTTTCGCAAATTATGGCGGTGGACTTTTCTCCCTGGCGGGATAGTTCACATGCTCCACAGCAGACCCCCACGAGCTCTTGCTCGTTACACACCTTTGGGATCTGTTTTGATTTCTGAAGGTAAAAGTCAGAATAAGGAAATACTTTTCCGGGCCTAGAGCCACAAATTCTGGTTTTGATTTCCTCCAACCATCACTTCTATTGCAATTTAGAATCGGGATCTTAGAATCAGAAGACACCTCGGAAATCACCTTGTCTGGTGTCACTTTACATAAAGGCAGAGGAACAAGGTGGCTCCCCTAATGTCACACCGGTAATTAGTGGTAGGACTAGACCTAATGCCCAGGTCCCCTGACTCCTCTCACACTGTGCCACACCCTCGAGTGGGGGCTCCGGAAGTACTGCCTGCCTTTATCCCCATCACGAACACAGCGCCCGCCCTGCGTTTGCACCCGTCTCTCTCCCTCTGACGCCCCCAGGTGAATGCCTCAGCGGGTTTCTGGGTTTGGCGTCAAGGCTCATGACATAACACGTCCAAAACCTCCACTGATTTGGGCATCGCACCCCAAGACACTCATCACGACAGGCCTGACGGTAAGGCAGGTGCTGTCCGGGGGAGCCCTGCCTTAGACGGGCCTGTCCCACAGGGTCCTGGCCACTTCATCGAGTGGGACCCTCATTCCTATTAGGCTGTGGCAGCCCCTCCCTCCCCACATCTCGGGCAATCGGCTCCTAACTATAGAGGATGGAGGTTCCATCCCGCAGCCCCGGGGGGCTGTGCTGAGGGTTTCCATGGGTCTTCTGACCACAGCCTGTGGAGGCAGAGCAAGAAGATTCCACTGGGGCGTGGGAAGCAGGGAATGGGGCCTGAGGCAGCTTTCCAGGACCTTAGTGAAAGAAGGAGGCTCCACCACAAGGAGAGAGCCGCCACCAGCCTGACCCCAGAACCCCGTTACTGCCCCTTAGATTTCAGGAGGCAAGCAAGATACCAGCTGCAGCCTTCAAGCAGCCTTGTCATCAAATTTAGTTCATGGCGAAGCTTGGAAGCAAATTTAAGGGGAAAGTATAATAATTAAACGAAGCTGGAACCAAAGCACATTCAATTCAAACTCGAGCTCGTGCGCCTTTTTAAAATCTCTCTCATCCTCTCTGCTGATTAGGTCAATGAACAAAGGTGCGTTTTCCTTTTTTAAAGACTGCGTTTGTGGACGCGGCAGAATGAAAGTAGAAATGAATCGTATGAACTCAATCAGGCGCATGACGCGGGGTGTGCGCAGGGCATCCAACCCGCTTCTTGCATTTCACTGGGGCTGGCTACGCTTGTACATGCGCGAGCATGCAGGTTCAGTTACCCTACCGAAGCATGCCTCTCCAGGGCATGTCTGCGCGCCCACGTACATGCGCGCCCACGTACATGCGCGAGCATGCAGGTTCAGTTACCCTAACGAAGCAGAGTTTATGCAAAAAGAATCATCGGAGGCACCCTCTCAGGGTGCCATGCATTTCGTTTGTGGCCTCCGTCTCTCCAGGGCACGTCTGCGCGCCCACGTGCATGCGCGCCCACGTACATGCGCGCGCCCACGTACATGCGCGCCCACGTACATGCGCGCGCCCACGTACATGCGCACGTCCCCTTCCTGCGCTACTTTCCTCCCCTCCCCCATCGCCGTCCCACGCACCATTCGTTACTATTAATAGCTCAAGTCTGTGGACAGTTTACTGTTTCGAATATAAATTACTGGGAATTCAAGGTTGTTCCCTATAATGACATCATGCTGACTAGCATTCCGACATGCTTCCTCCAGAGAGTGGCGGTAAATA